GATTTGGGCTCTATATTTTTAATCAATTTTGCAAATGTTTCAAACATAAACTAATATGTTCAGCAGTTTCTTGGTTTGTCATTTTAAACCCTTTTATGTGTTGATAATTTTTTTTTCTGTTTTCTGTCAGGTTTTTAATGATCCCATTCACGGCCATGTGGAGCTACACCCGCTTCTCATCAAAATCATTGACACTCCTCAGTTTCAGCGACTTCGAAACATCAAGCAACTTGGAGGCACATATTATGTTTTTCCAGGCGCGTCCCATAACCGCTTTGAACACAGCATTGGGTAAATATCTTGGTTTTATTGCATCTAATTAAGTCATGGATTCAGGAGAAAGAGGTTTACTCAGTGTCTTGCAAACATATTAATACCTCTGAGTATTTAATCTGGACTGTAGGTGATAAACCAGTGCTAAGTAGTCCATAGTTGGGTTAAAAGGAAAATATTTTTTCCAAAATGTTAACTGAAATAAGTTTAAATTTAGTTATATGCATTTTTGTTCAGTTATATCATTTTTAGTTTCACTTTTTGCTGATGCTGCCTCCCCTATGCACTGCTTTCTGTCTATCAGATTTCCCCCATTCTTTTTACATAAGAAGCCCCTCCCATACATTCCAATTGAATTTACCACAGGAGTATAGAGACTCTTAAATATGCCTTTAGCTGAAAGAGCAATCCATCTTGACTAGCAATTATACCAAAATTTTAAAGTAAAATGTTTGATCTAATCTGTCTGTCAATATGCTCTATCCAGAACTTCTCAAATGGTAAAGCCTTATTTTCCCTTGGTTTAATTTTGCAAAAAGTCTTCTTTATGGAATCTTTTGCTATCTAATTATGAATTGATTAATTTAAAAACTCATCGACAGATTAATCCATTTTCAAAATAATCATTAGCTGCATCTCACATAAGAAAATATTACACCCATATATAGACTTTACATGTAGTTGAGCCTTCAACACAATTTAATTTACGTAATTTAATTTATGAGTATTGAAGTGTGTGTGTGTGTGTGGGGGGGCTATATAGAGATAATGCAATACTTTTTTTTTTTTTTTTTTGCTTATCTATAGAACCTTTTTAAAAGTTTTGTTCCCTTTGTATTGGCCGACCACCTGCCTTAACCCTCCAGGTATCACTGTTGTTTTGTTGGTGACTGTTGAAGTCTCCCAGTAGGATTTTTGAATCCCCGGGAGGAGAGCTATGCGACCTTCTTGTCAATCAGGTTTAAGTCCAACATGAAGCGGCTGAGCCGGGGTGAGACAATCACACCCACCCCAGCCCTCAGCTCCCCCTGGAGCCACTGCAGAGTAGACGAGTCTCTCTCAAGGAGCTGGGTTCCAGAACCCAGGCTATGTTTGAAGTCCAGGCCATGTATTTCTAGCTGGTATTGCTCCACCTCCAGCACAAGCTCAGGCCCCTCCACCAGGTTAAGGTGGCGGTTCAAGTAGGGGATCTATTACATCACATCTAAAATAAAATATTGTAAAACTATAACAACACACTATTTTGACCCAGAATAACATTAGAATGCTGTGGAGCTGGCCCGGCAGTATAAAAGTTGTGATTCTCTTAGGACACCTTAATTAATTTTGTCTTGTTGTGTTTTTTTTCTTTTGCTGTAGGGTCGGGTACTTGGCTGGACGACTTGCTCAAGCTCTC